CATGAGGACAGCTCATGTAGACATCTCTAGGACTCAATAAAAATCTGCCTTAAAACTATATTTGAGAACCAATCCACCATTTCTCTTCAACCTCGAAGTGAAGAATTCCCACCCCGTAAAATGCAACCAAAATTCTTGTGTTTTGTTGTTGTTGTTTGGCTTGGTTTTTGGTGATGCTTATTGACAAGGTATCCTTTGTTTGATAACTGTGTTTGTACTGGGCCACTTGAAATCTGAAGCTGAGTGTCTTTGTTCTGTGGAAGGTGGTGTAATGTAAACTCTGGTCTCAGAACTGCTTTCCACACTCTTAAAAATCATCAAGGACTCCAAAGAGCATTTGTTTAAGTGCATTATTTCTGTGATGAATGTTAGAGATTAAAACTGATAAACTTTTAAATACAAGAATAACAAACCCACATACTGTTAGCCTTAGTGCTGCCATCAACACACATCATTCAGGTTCTAGAAAACTTGACTGTATACTCATGAGAGAATGAGAGTTAAAAAGGCCTTAGTGTTATGAAAATAGCTTTGGCCTCAGAGATGCCTGCTGTTATAACGAGAACCGCTACAGTTATGGTACAATTCTGGCTCTGTCACTTACTGACTGGCCAAGTTGTTTAGTCTTACTATCTCGTAGGTTTAGTGTTAGTATTCAATGAAATAACATATAGCAATACCATTGCATAGTTCCAGATAAGCACTCAATACTGGTAGCTGTTATAATGTGGATTTTGCATCTGAGGAGTCCTAGCTCACTAGCATAATTATGTAACAGAGCAGGAATTATCTGTACCCAGAGGGTACACCATCAGTCCTAACGGGGTCCTATCCAGCCCCGCAATTTCCTCCATCCCCACAATTTCCACCCATTTCTAAATAAAGTAACATTGTTTCACTAAAAACGCCAGTTTTCTAAAATGAGTTGAGTGAGAATGACAGAGGGAGAAGATAACATAATAGTTATTTAATACTTTTATAATTTCTGAGCATTTTAATTGAGGAAGACTGGCAAATTTTATTGACAACTCAATTTTCATTAAAAATAAAATCTTTTCACAGAATGATCTATTCTATACAAATGGTTTTTTTCACAAATGAAGAATTCGGCTTAAGAACTTTTACAACAAATACGATGAAAGTTAGTATCTCTGATCTCCAGAACAGATTCTCCAGTGAAATAGAGAGTCGGGAATTTGCTGAGATCTGATTTAGTTCAATAATTTATGAATAGCAATTGTTTGTTGTACAGGGTATTTTGTGAGAAAAATGCCTTGAAAACATATAGGAAAAGAAATATAGGTGTAAAATTCATTTTGGCTATATGTATAATTAAGTGTAATGCAATATTGTTTGAAATTGAAATCCTTATGAATTCCTTTTTCCTATTCTTGCTATTAATAAGGCATCTGCTTCATTATTTAGTCACCAAAGAGGGGTGTGCGTGTATGTGTGTTAGGACTGACGTTAGGATTGAAATATCAACAGAAACTGAATTGGAGGAAGAGACAAGGGTCACGAAAGCATCTAGATTTTTCCTTTTTGAGAAAGTGAAAAAAAAAAGAGGGAGAAAAGATATCTGAAACTTCTTCTCTACAGCAGTGTCTGCGGTGTGCAACTAAACTTTTGTTCTACAGAATCTCTCCATGGAAACAGGGTTAGCACCAGGGCCTGATGCTCTGCGAGGCTTAGGAACACTTGCCAGGTGAGCGTGGGAGGTCTACCTGTGTTCAGAAGGCTTCAGTATTGAACAGATCTTACTTGATTCTACTGATTTAAACATCCCTGCTCCAATTCACATGGATGAACCTTGAGGATGTTAAGCTAAGTGAAATAAGCCAGTCACAGATGGATAAATATTACATAATTCCACTTGTGTGAAGTACCTAAAATGGTCAAATTCATAGAATCAAAGAGAGGAGTGATGATTGCAGGGGCTGGAGTGAGGGGAAATTGGAGAGTTGCCAATCAGAGGACATGAAATTTCAGGTAAGCAAGATGAGTAAGTTTTAGAAATCTGCTGTGAAAGATTGCATCTATAGTTAACAATAGGGCATTGTGCACTTAAACATTTGTTAGGAGGGTAAGGTGTTCTTATATAATATAATAAATTTTTTTTTTTAAAAAACTGCTTCTTTTTGTGAACATTCCAAATAAGTGTACTATCTACTGAAAATAAAAGGCACTCAGCCTCCTCAGGCCAGAGGGACGCAGCTGCAGGGATTTGGGATTAAGTACCAGTGACTCAGGAAGATCACGACTAGTTTCCCTGTTACGTGTCTTCAGAGTTAAGTTGTGTTTTGAGGAGCGATTTTTGTAAAAATCCCAACTAGTTGGGAGTTATTGAAGTAGAATCTGCTTGTGAGATCTGAAAGGACATCTTGTGAGTCTTAAAAGCAAATGGCGATGTTTGCTATTATCCTACTTGTTTTTGGAGAAATCTGCAAGAGCAGGAAAAACCAGACTCTAGGCCAACAATAGAGAAGCGTCAGTCATGAACTACTTCAGGCGAGAAGCCTAAAACGACCCGGCCAGGTGCTCCAGATGTTTCCTCTCGCCTTGCCCCATCTCTTCAGTTTTATCTGTCTTGCACTCTTGCCAATTTCTTCTACCTAACTCCCCCCACCCCCGACCCGTGCTCTCTGCAGTGTCTTTAAATAAGCCAGTGGCTAAGGATTGAGAAATGACGCGTTGACAGAAGTGGTCACTATACTCCAAGCAGTATCTACTTAGCCACAAGTGTGAAAACACATCCTTATCTGTTCTCACCTCACTGAATGATACTTCCATGCTATCTCCTGAAGGTGTTTGTGTGCCCATGCCAATGGTCTTTCTGAAGCCATGGAGAGAAAAAAAGACTTTTCCCCAGAGGACAGAAAATTATTTACGTTGGAGCCAAGCAGACATTTCACAGGCTCCAGTGTCGCTTTAGCCAGTGATGAGCGGATGTTAGCTTCTTCTGATACACAAGGAAGAGTTCACTGTCCTGATGTCATCTCCGATTGTTATTTTTGTTGTACTTCTAAATAATAGGATTTCTGGCATAAAGACTTATCTCAGGATTCAGCACAGTCATGTTCTGAGAGCCAGGGCCCCGACGATGATGGATTTATGCAGGTTGTGATTCTCTGACTAATTTGCTTTGAACCAAGTGAACACTTGGGAAAACCAAAATGTTATTCCCAAGATTTTACATCCTAACTGGAAATACAACAGGAAATATAGAGCAAAAAAAAAAACCAATTTGTTTTTCCACTTCTGAACGTCAAAATGGGCTTTTTATTTGTCATTTGAATTGAAAAAATAGATAGCTCAGTTGTACTTCTTCCTTCTTTACACAAAAATTGAAAGACCTTGCAGTACCCCCCCCCCCCCGCTTTTTTTTGCTAATGTAAGTGATTTTGAACATTCTCCCCATGGCTGGAAAGAATGATTGTTTTCGTGGCTTCTCCCTCCGTGCTGCGTGAACCTGTAGGCTGGTGCTTTCACTGCCAACATCAGGGAACGGAGAGATTTCTCAAGCTTTCCTGCACATTTCTATTAAGGAGCCCAGCACTGAGCCTGTGTCCTCCAAGGTCGATCGCCTGGAATACCAGTCCCGGGGTTGGGGGTTGGGGGTGTCCTTCCATGGAGCCCTTTCTCCCACATGGCAATGACCCCCCAAGGAGGAATCATGATCCTGACTTTACAGACAAGGACACTATGGCAGAGGGGTGGCTCAGTCACCTGTCTCAATGCACAGAACCAATTTATGTGGAAACGGGAATGGGAACCCACATCTGACCAACTGCAGAATCAAAATTGCTTCTCATACTTCATTATAGCCCGAGTGAGAGGCGGTTAGAGAGTTCTGAGGACTGGCAGTTAACACTGGTCTGTTGAAGGCTTTGGATGAGTTTCTGCAAGAAAATGATCTTTTTCTAATTCCTCAGTCCACAGTTCCTCAGGTAGATTTCACTGCAGGGAGCTTGTGAGCTTGCCCTCCACCTGCTCTTTCGGCGAGGTCCTTTGGTAAAGGAGGGAGCAGCTCCATGAGTGCCTCCCTGGGGGTCGGGGGTGGCAGGAAGGGGCTGCCAGGCTGCTCCTGCGGAGGACCCTGCCACTGGAGCTGGCTGCTAGCTCACACACTGCCCCCTTCGTCCTTTGCTGGGCTTCTCTGTCTTCATTTAAGCCAGTTTTCTTCTATATCTGTGTGTTGGTGAAAAGGAAGAAAAAGATGTGATAAAATCTGGGTCACACACCCCGGTCAGCATGTGTGAAGCACTCAGAGGAAGTTAATGTGATTTTAAAGAACTCCATGGCATCCATACTTGGAAACTATCCTTTAGTTTTTCTACTCCCTTAAATAATATAACTGTTGCATGAACAAGTCACACAAACTCTCCAGGCCTCACAGTCACCTAAACTATGAAATGAAGAGGATGAATAACATAATTAAGGTTTTCAAAATAAGAGTCAAAACTCACATAGCGTGAATATATACACATATATACATATATATATCCACACACATATATACGTAAGTACATTCACACTATTTGGAACACATACACACACACACACACATATATATATTACATGTATATATGTATATGTGTAATATATATATGTTTTCTTTAAGGCAAGAATGTAGAAGCAACTTGAAGGTGCACACCACAGGTTCTTCAAGGGCAGAGACCACCTCTTTAATTTCTTCTGATTCTCCTTAATGCGTAGTGCTTAGCACTGAGCAGGTGTTCAGTAAGCCTTGTTGGCTGTCAAGTCAAGTGCTAAGATTCAGAGGCTTTATTTGTCCACACGAATCTGAGCTGGGGGCCATCCCTGCCAAAATAGCCAGTGAATTAAAGATTCCACAATTAGACATACGGTGCTGCACCAGGACCTCTGTGTCCCTGCTAGTCAGTATGTCCCCACAATGACGTAGTGACAGTTGCGTCTCTATGCGGCCCATGTTCAGCTGATGGGAAATGTTAATGTTACTTTGTTTTTATTCTTGACAGAGGGAAAAACTCATCAATCAAACCCATCAAAGAAGAGCTGTCATTTTATAACTCAAGAAAGGGATTATTTTCCACTTAAACGTCAGGTAATGGGTGTGTAAATTAGAAAACTAAAAAAAGACCTCTAGTGTAAGTAATCTGAAAGGGAACTACATACACACTTTAATCCCATTTACTGAGTACTTGTTACGTGTCAGAAGTTTTGTGTATGATATGTTATTATCCTACTTTACCTTCACAAAACCCCCATGGCAATGCTAGTACATTACTGGCCCATTTTAGAGATGAAAAAGTAGGTTCAGAGAGCTAAAATAGCTCGCCCAAGGTCACAGAAGTGGTAACTGGTGAGCAAGGTGGTCTCTCTGACCCCCTTAATTGCTGTCCTCTCCTCCCCCTCACCTCCTCTTCCCTCTCCCACTCTTCTCCCCTGTTTTATACTTAAGGAGGGAGCAGTCGTTGGTGTGTTTTGGCATTTGCCCTTCTGCCTTCTTCCTGTCTATAGTTTGTGCTGAACAGATAAGTGAGTAGTTTTCTGAAAAAAAAAAAAAAAAAGTTGCGATTATTCTGTTTGTAGGCATTTGTATGTAGGGCTCTAGGAGCTATACATATTTTGTAATTTCGTCAAGTGTTTTCCTCTTCCATCTCTGTTACTTTAGCCAAAGAAAGAAAAAGAGCCAAGATTGAGAATGATGGCAATTTCAAAGACATCTCCATGTCTACAGGTGAGAGTTACTGTTCTACTCGATCCTCATAACAAACTCCAGGAGGCGGACAGGGCAGTGTGGCTAACCCTCCATTTACACACAAGCTAGGGAAGCCCTGTGTTCTAAAGAATGTGCTCAAGATGACTCAGATGGTGAAAACAAACAAACAAACAAACAAACAAACAAATGAACAAACAAAACCACACTCAAACCAATACCTTGACTCTAAGTTTGGGATTCTTGGAAATACAGAGGAGTGTGGTTTCAATACTCCATTCCCAGGGCTTTCTAGGGGATTTGGGGCCAATGGCAGCCTGACTTCATCTCACTTCCCCACCATTCCCAACTCTAAATCTGGTCGTCAGTCCTGACCTAAGCCGTTGCGGGGCTGGGAGGTGGCTCAGAGCAATTAAGGCCTTAGGCTCCATGGGAATTCCGATAACTGGGAGAGGACCCAAAGAGCAGAAAAGGAAAGATAATGTGTATCAGCCAAATAGGGGAAGATCAAACAGAACAATACAAATAAAGAAAAGAAGCCTGGGCGATATTTTCCCACTTTAATTAAGAAAATAAGACAAAGGAAGTCAAGGATGACTCAAAAAAAAACCTTCCTAATAAAAACTGATTTGTGAACTAAGATAGTGCACAGTTTGAAAGAGAGGATGGACCCTGTCGAGATTCAAATGAATAATTTGGAAGACCAAGAGGAAGAAAATATCTTAAAGCAAACAAGAAAACAAAGCTAACCAGCCAACTAAAACAAATGAACAAACAAGCAAGCAAACAAAAACACTAAGGGAAAAAAATCGTGAGGGAAAAGAGACTAGGAGAATTGATCCTGGATGGTTAACATGTGCTCAAGGGGAATATGAGAAGGAGAAAATGGAAGAGATGGAGGAGAATCAATAATAAAACAATAGGAGAAAATTCCTGAACCTTTTAAAAATTAGTACATGCTCTGATTTTCTTGATCTCTAGAAGATTTAGATTCTTCCCTTAGTCCCCAGTATTCTGAAATTTTACCAGGATGTGCCTTGTTTGGGTTTATTTTTCTGCCATGGCCCTAAGTACCCTATGGGCTCTCCATATGGAAAACTCATGTCCTTCAAATTTTCTAAATTGTTTTTATGATGATTTCCTCTGGGAGACAATGTTTCTCAGAACAGTGGACCCGAGTCTTTTAGTTCCCATAGGGCAAAAAAAAAAAAAAATTTTTTTTTTTTTGTTTCAAGTTGTCTTTGCATCACTAGCACCTTAGCGATAGCGTGAGGCATTTGCTAAGATGGCAGTCATCAACTGTAAGTAAACTAAACACAACTGAGGTAAGCTGTTTGCAAAGTTTAAGTCTTAGAATTTAAATTTATGACCATACTTCTCACGTTTCTCAGTAAAGGCACAAGACAATCAGAGCACCGAGTGGCTCTCCTGGTGACCTTTCATTCCTTCCTAGGATTCAGTCGAGCCAGATTTCAGAATGACTACCTGTTCATACGACTGCTCCCAAACCTTCCATAGCTTTCCCTCCGAGTGCTTCTCAGCCCTCTCATTATCTCTTCCCACAGCTATGTTGGGTTTTCCATGCTGGGAGTCGGGGAGAGTGAGGGCCATGCAAGGAGGTGGAACACGAGTCGCAGTTTCCTTTTTTTTTGGAAGCTTTTCCTGCCTGACCTGCCCTCAGAGAGAACTGCCTGCTAAGGCATATGCTCATGGCTGGGAGAGACTGGAGCGGAGGGTAGGGCCGGAAAAGATGAGCAGACCTGTTGGGGAAAGTCCAAAGGAGTGAAGGTTGAGCGCAGGAATTGCTGAATTTAAATCCTTTCAGATGCTTTTGTGAGGGTAGTTTATCTTTTACTTCAAGATTTAAGTTTGAAAAGTTTGTGATAATAGAGAAAGAGGAATATTCAAATATCTTCTTTAAAAAAAAAAGTGAGCAGAAATATCATTCTCACCCCCAAAACTCTGCACTTAATTTTAGAATTAGTAATAAGTAAGACATCTGGATGGAACTGAACAGAAGTGTTTCTGAAGAATTTTGGGAATTGGGCATAATTTTCTGCAAATGAACAGCAGGTTCTGTTTTGAAAGGTATTTTTTAATGTCCAAAGAGACAGCCAAGGACTCGTCTCCCATTCTCTTCTCTTTGGGTGACTTTCACCGAAAACAAACTTTTTTTTCTTAAAGACTTTATTTCTTTAGAGTAATTTTAGATTTAAAGCAAAATTAAATGGAAGGTACAGAGATTTCTCATAACCCCCTGCCCCAACACAGGCACAGCCAACCCCTTGTCAACGTCACCCAGCAGAATGGCACATTTATTACGATTGCCGAACCTACACTGACACATCACTATCCCCAAATTTCATAGTTTACTAAGGGTTCACTCTCAGTGTTGTATATTCTATGGGTTTGGACAAATGTATAATGATATGTATCTACCATTATAATATACAGAATAGTTTCATTGCCCTAAGAATCTTCTGTGCTCCGACTCTTTATCTTCCCTCCCCCCACAACCCTGAGAACCACTGATCTTTTAATGTCTCTATAGTTTTGCCTTTTTCAGAATGTCTTATAGTTGGAATCATATAGTATATAGCCTTTTCAGATCGGCTTTTTTCTCTTAGTCATATGCATTTAAGGTTCCTCCCTATCTTTTCATGGCTTGATAGCCCATTTCTTTTTAGTGCTAAATAGTATTTCATTGTCTGAATGTACCACAATTAATCTGTTTGAAGGACATCTTGGTTGCCTCCAAGATTTGGCAATTATGAATAAAGTTTCTATGAACATCCATGTGCAGGTTTTTGTGTAAGGACATAATTTTCTCTTCCTTTGGGTAAATACCAAGGAATGAAATTGCTGGATTATATAATAGGAGTAGTTTAGTTTTATAGAAAACTATCAAGCTAACCTCCAAAGCAGCTGTACCATTTTGCATTCCCACTAGCGAGGAATGAGAATTCCTGTTGCTCTACACGCTCACCAGCATTTGGTGTTGTCAGTGTCCTGGACTTTGGCCACACTGATAGGTGTGTAGTGATAACTCATTGTTTTTTGTAATTTGCATATCTCTGATGACATATAATATGGAGTGTTTTTTCCATGTTTATTTGCCATCGATATATCTTCATTGGGGAAGGTATACACCAAATTGATGTATATGTTTTAATTGGGTTATTTATTTTCTTATTGTTGTGTTTCAAGCAAGCACAAACTTCTACCCAGTGTCTTTTGGGGGCAACTTCTTATATGAGGTGATATGAACTTAGATTACTTAGATTCAGACCCTGAACAAGAGGGGGCAGATTTAAAACAAAACCAATTTTTTTGTGAGATTCAGTTAAGTTTAAACTAAAAGTAGAGAGGATACTCCATAAGGAGCAGCAGCTGATGGGATTAAATTAGTCCTGAAGAGTAACGAAAAATGGGAAACTCAGATTGAACTTTTTCCTGTCTGTCTCCTGCTTTCACAGAAGCCATCCCAGAATCATGAGTCTCAATGGCCTTTTTAGTTTTGCTCAGCTCCCTCCCACAAACATTAATAACACGGCCAGCCTTGCTGTTGCTGTGTCTTCCATTCATTGCCTTGCTTGAGGGATGCCTTGCTGTGTGGAGGAAACATGGAGCGGAGTTCTAGAAGGTTTTCTGTAGTTCAAGGGAGTTACATAGATTTTTTTTCAAGTCCACTTGTTTTGTTTCCAACATCTACAGATGGATTTGGAGGCATCCACTGGATTGCTCCCCGGGAGAGGAGAGAAAAAGACAAATGGCAGTGATTCTGATGAAAACCTTGTGAAAAGCGCGGATGGAGGGTCAACACCACGAACCGATGTAAGTTGACAGTCACGAGTGTGAACAACTTCTGTATGGACTGAGCTTTGGGCGTGGGAAGCTTCTCAGGGAGATACGTTGAAATTGCATCCCTGTCTCCCCCACCGCCCGCCCCTCATGTATGTCTCTTCCCTTGGCTGCTGCTTGGGCTCTTCAAGCACTGTTCCAGAAGGGCCCATGGAAGCTTGGCTCTCATACATGAGTGTAGCCACGCGAGTTTTGATTTTATTTATAGGCAATCCCCTCTTTAGGTAACAGGTTAGTTTACACCAAGAATGTGGACTTTTCTCCTTAGAGTCCTGTGGTCACCATGTCTGCTTCACAAACGGTGCAGTAAAACTCTGACTTGTGAGGTGTGTTATTACATCTGCGTTACCCCTCTGGAGTACTGTGTATAGGGACCAATCTCATGCTATTTCATCACTCAAGAAAGCCAATATGATACTGGTTAATTTTCTGAACTTAAGAATCATTAGTACATTTTTATCACCTTATGTGTTTAATTGTAGACAAAATATATATACATCACTGCCGAGGATCATGGTACCTGGAAAACCAGGCTGCCCAGAATCCTGTGAACTGCCTGTTCGTGTCACTTGCCCATCTTATTGGTTTTAGAAGAGTTATTCATATATAAATTTTATTGATTTATAAGCATTCTTAGCATATTTGTATTTAAGAACAGTAGTCCTTTGTCATATTTTGCAGTTTTTTACTTTTTCTTTTGATTTTTAAAGTTTTTTTTCCAGTTCAGAAGATTAAAATGTTTATGTCATCGAATTTGATCATATATTTTTCTTTACAGCATCTGAGTTTTCTTTAATACTTAGGTGTTTTATAATCTAAGTTGAAAATCAGATTCTCTTGTTGTTTTTTTTTTTTTTTAATAACTCTTTTAAAGTTTCCAGTATACCTTTGGTTTCTCCTGTTTCTGTGGCAGAGCTACTCAGGAAATGAATCTACAGAGCGAACTTCTTTTCTAGCTCATTTTTCAAGAGCGAGCTATGGGGAACCAGGAGGAGATACATAGCAGATGGTAAGCTTCTCGGGGCACCCAGCCTGGCACACAACAGGTGCTTAGCACACCTTCATTGAAAGAATGCACTGCCGGCTTTTGTCTTAGCTCAGAGCGGGTAGAGCTCTTCCTATTTTGCCAAGTGCTTTCCAGACAATGTCACTTGCACAGCCCCAAGATTTCCTGCAGTAGGAAGAGAAGCTGGGGATGGGATGGCGGAGGGGGAAAGGGCTTGGTCAGCACTGGCCAGAGCTGGATGACAGTTTTATAGAGGAAACGTCACTTGGGTGGCTCCTCCTCACAGGCACTAGGACTTGGTGACCAGAGAATTTCAAACAATGACAGTTTCTACTTGGAGCTAGCTCGGTTTGGAAAAGGACTTGTTGCTTTAAAGAAATCATATTGTATGCAAAATTCATTTTGCCCTGTGAACTGAGAGCAAGCTGGGTGTCCCGCTGTGCTTTCTAGTCCTTTTCTTGTCACTTTCTGCCATCTACCGGCCACAGTGTGAATTACTCCGGAGTTACTTGAGATTATGCCCATGTACATTAAGGAATATTCAGGGAACAGGAGAGGAGAAAGGCTCACCTTCAGCCCATAAACAGTGAAGCTACATGCTTGAGACTAATTTTGGTGGGATTATATAGAAAGGTTCGTGTCTGAAGCTGGTTTTCTAACTTTTATACCTCATCTAAGTTCCATTGAACTTCATTCTTACAGTCTGATGCCAAATTCCTTATTTCCACTGTTGCTGGATGGACTGTCAGTCTCATTTGACCTCAAATGATTAGTGCTTTGAGTCTAGATGTCAAAATATTTATTTCAGAAATTCACTTGTAATTGTCAAAGGCCAGAGAGTCTCATCAGAATAGTCATGTTACTTTTCATTAGTACAAAGATCCTCGATCCACTGAAAGCCAGGGACCATGTGGGCATCTCTATTCTGTTATTCTCCATTACTCTTTTATACTTGACTTCTGCAAGCCAAATGAGTCTCTCTGCTGACTTTCAATATTCATTCAACAGATGCTTACTGAGCACCTACTATGGGCCACACACAGTGCTGGGAACACAGGGAAGATATGGTCCCTGTCCTCTCACTTACAAACAAGTGGAAAGCCATTTGCACATACATAGAAAACAGTCAGTTTGGGGGGTTTGATTTAAACTGGGTTTGTTATTTAAATGCATTTCATGGAGGTCCCCCGAGAACTGAACTAAAATATTTTTTCAGGTAGATATCTTCGGGCGATTTCCAGACATAGGCTGATTGACCAATAACTGTCTTTCAAGTCTTTCTTGTGTTTAGGTACACTCTTGCATTCTTTCATAAAATGTACCCAATAATCAAGGAGAGGTAACCCTTTTCCACAACCCCAGCTAATGGCTGGTTGTTACCCCCTGGAGAAGACCCCGACTCAGAATAAAAATGGTGAATCTTTACAGTCTAAGTTCAAAGAAACACCTTCCCTTTAGCCACACACCCTGCTGCAGGCCTACAGGGAAGTGGTTCTGGACAGCCAGGAGATGCAGTGGATTCCGATGGAACACCTTAACCCCAGAAGCCGAGGCAGCACACGGCAGTGTTAGGGCCTGGGGAAACACCCTCTGGAACCTGAGGTTGCTAGGGAAATTGGCTGGGCTCTTCCAAGGACAGTATAGCCATAGATGCTATCTGGGACACTGTCGGCCCATTTAACAGACACTGTAAATATTAGTGGTGATGCAGTGCCAGCCCTGGGATACAGAGTAAGTAGACAGGACAGAGGAAGTGGACAGTTTCGTCCTATGTCTAGCCCTGTCACACAAACAGACTCTGACCTCCAATTCTCCTGACCCCAATTGCCAATTTTTTGTAACCCGTCCAAGCAAATGAGATCAGACAGAGAACCAGACCAGACCAAGAGTGTGACATCCCTCTCCTCTTCTACCCTGTTCTGCAAGCGTTCCATTATCTTCACAAGGCTAGTGAGAAGACAGAGCTATAAGTGAAGGGTACCACGATAATAATACCCAACATTTCCTGGATCAGGATGAATCGCAGGACCTGGATTATGTAAACAGTCTACTTTCAGGAGAGAAAAGTTGAAAAATAAAAATGATTCTTATCTTGATGGTGAATATGTGATTCATGTTCACCTTAAGGACACAAAGGTGAGAAAGGTGGGCACGGGTCAGAGTGGAGACTGCACTGGCTTTGGAGGCAGACAGAGAGTATGCGAATCTCCCACGGCTAGCGCTATGGCCTTATTCACCTCTGCATTTGTTTCCTCATCTGTGAAATGGGGAAAATAATATATTCCTTTCAGAATTATTATAAGGATTAAAAAATGTATGTAAAGCATGGAGCATAGTACAGTATCTTCTGATACTATGAAGACTATATCGTCTTGCTGTTGAGGCATGTGCAGTCTGGTTGGGAGTGCTGAGACTGTCATCATAATAATCACGATTGTGTCCTGAAGCAGACAAGGCCTTCGCAAGTCAGACAGGAGTCTGAAGTAGAGAGAGAAGCATCCCGCTAAATTCCATTCAACATAAATTTATTAAGTATGTACGGTGCGACAGGCTGCATCATCACACTTGTTCCATTTGCAGATTCTAGAGTCAGAGGACCTGGGTTAGGATCCCATCTCTGCCACTTACTAGAGGTTTCATTTTGGGCACTTATTTAATAAACACTCTGAGTTTGTTACTGAGTTTTCTTGTTTATAGAATAAGATTTTTTAATAGTATGTGCCTCATAGGTTGTTGCTACAAGGAATAAAATGAATGAACACATTAGTATGCACAGAAAAGATGTAGCAAAGTACCTGGCACATTGTAAATGCTGATTGAATTATGACCGTTGTCATTATCATCATCATCATCATCACCACCACCACCAGTCCCTGTGCTTAGAGTTAGGGATTTAAAAAAAAAAGATACATTTCCTGCCTTCAAGAACCTCACAATTCAGTAGCTCCTGGGACCATTTATTATTTTCCTTTGGTAGGTATCCAGATAGAATACAGCCTATTTTTCTAAAAAGGGAAGCATTTTGCTTGAGAAATTAGTTTACACTGAGTTGGCCTAGAGGAGGGAATTGGCTTTCTCCTAATCACACACACAGTGGGGGTGAGCGTCCCTAGAGTTCCTGTGAAGCAGAGCTGGAGGTTTGAGTCCTGACTAGATGACTTGTTTTTACAGGACTGAAATGTTATCTCGTTCAATCTTTATAATTATGCAAACAGACAGACTCAGCGATTAGGAGTCCCCACTTGCTGTATTTTTAAATATACATTGATGCATAGCTGTGGTTTGTGTATTCCAGGGTTGTCTAAAGTTCCATACAATAAAACATGACTGGGCCGCGATTGTGCTGCATAGGAGCCACCTAATTTGGAGGAAGCATTTTTAGCATTAAAGTGGAATAAAAGTCAAGGAGTGGGCTTCGGAAAAAGGAATTCTGAGTACCTGAACTCAGAATAAGGGCTTTCACTCCTGGTTTATGAGAAAGAAGGAAAACAAAACAAAACACGAGTGCTTATTAAGCCCCTTTAATCTAAGAATTTTAATCTAAGAATTTTGTGAAGTGTAACTGCTCCGAGGCCCGGGCGAGACCCATTGGCTTTCAAGTTTCTCTCGCATCGTGTTAGCTCATTGGGTGAGAGGATGAGCAGGTAAGTGGGAGCTGCCAGCATTACAGGCCACACAGAGTTCTCGTAAGAATTTTTTCAAAGCTGTCCCTATCTATAACGAGTCAGCATCCACGAAGCAGAAGGACATCTGTGTATATTTAGATAGAAAAGTGCTGTCTCCATGTCATTTTGTAGAAAATGCGTTTCTCTCTGCTTCCCTCCGCGAGGCTTCCTGGTATCTCAGAAGAGAAAGGAGCTACCTGGTAAATAAAGATAAGCTGTGCTTATTAGCAGAGATTTGCAAGGGAAGAGGCTGTTTAAAAATGGAAAGGAAGGTAATCGTGTTCCTCTGGCTCTAAAGCAGGGACTGGTTTTCCCGTGTCAGAGCCAGCGAGCTGCCCAGCAAGTATGCTTGCCACCCCGGCGTGACCTGTTGCCGTGTGCGAAGTCACACTTGGTTGTGGGAAGCCTCGGGCCTGGGAAGCTGCAAGCTGTCCTGACAGTGGACACTGATGCTCCGCCAGGAGAGAAGAGGGCTGTTGTTTTCAGACTGACCTTGGAAGAAAAGATGCAGTGCCAGGTCACATCTGACGGAGCCACTGTGTGTCTCACCCCCTCGCACTCCACACGGGTAGCCAGGACTGGTACGGAGTCTCCTGGGAGAACCAGGTGAACAGTTGGCTGTGGAACTGAAGGAAAGTGGTGGAGACAGTGTCTACGTGGTGTACAACATCTGGTTCAAAACTGAGTTCAGTCAGCTCTCCGGATGTTTCCATAGGCATAGAGGTTTGCCAGCGGGGAGACCAAGTGGTCTCTTGACGGAATGCTGCGCGTTCTATCCAATTGTTCTGGAGAAAGCAGTCTGTTCTCCCGGCACCTCTGCTTTTAGATAAGAAGAACGATTTTGGCCAAAGACAAAGGCCCCCAAGTTTCTCCATGCAGTGTTTGTCCCCCGGCTCTCCCACCACCCCACCCCGGGCTGGTAAGGAACAGCCCTGTGCAAGGGACTAAGTCGGCTCTTTGTCCGCACATGAGCTCAGCTTATCCCGATTGTGCTGACTCTGTGGGATTCTCAGAAAATAAAAGCCAGAGACAAAGCACCAGGAAAATGACCTGGTCCGCTTGCACCTGGCCTCCATTTTACATACGTCCCCTCATTCCTGAGGGGACCTGGGGTGAGAGAAGGTGACCTCGGAGAGGAGTTAGCAGGCCCTACATTTTCATCCCAGGCTAATTCACGAGCATAACGAGAGAGCGCTTACGTGTGTGTGTCTGATACCTCACGTAGTGTCTTAAAGTAGAACACAAGGGCTGTTTGGTAGAGGTTGGTTGTCAACCCTTCACTTCCCACAATTTTTTTTTTGCTTAAGGCCAAAAAAACTGGTTATTTGCTTCATCTGG